ACTACAAAATGCTCTCCCACTACCTGAGGCCTTCTTTGTCGGTTCCATATGGTTCTATTATTTTTGAGCTGCTGCCATTCGAGTCCTGCTATATCTCAGAAAACTGATCGTTCAGCATCTTTAGCTATCTGGACGCCTGGCCAAGCACATCGGCATGCTTCTCTGTGTGTTTCTTGTCCTCCTCCACAGATGCAGATCTAGAAAATTGATGCAATGCACGGGCTTTCTACTACAAAATGATCCTCCTACCTTCAGGTCTTCTTTGTAGGTTCTACTATTTTCTGGGCGCTGCCATTGAAGTCGTCCCGTTATCTCTCACAACCCTATATAAACCCTACAAAAAAAACTAGTCGTTCAGAATCTGTACATATTTGGATGCCTGACCAGGCACATCGTTTGTGTTTCTTATCCTTCTCCTCATGCAATTACTGCAATCCATGTGATATACTACAAAATGCTCTCCCACTACCTTAGGCCTTCTTTGTAGGTTCTATTATTCTGAACGCTGCAATTTTAGTTGGGATTGCTCTGATATGTCTCAGCGTCCTAGAGCTAGTAAAGCCACAACCCAGCTGGCCGGTCTTTGAATCTGTAGCTATCTGGATCTATCTGCATATATTTGGATGCGTGACCAGGCACATCGGCGCCCTTCTCTTTGCGCTTCTCTCCCTTCCCCTTCGCATCCAAGGCCTTGGCTCTACAAAGTGTGAAACGGACAAGGCTTGCTCTACAAAATGCAGTAACTAAGCCTTCTCTGTAAGCTCTCTGCTTTCCAGATTGCTGAAATTTCGGAGTCCCACTCTCAGCATCTTAGAGCTAGCCCAGCCACAATCCCACTGGCCTTTGGGAATCTATAGTACCTACAGTATCTGTCTTAAACAAAGTGGCCCCCATCTAGGGGTGGCCCCCGATTCACAGTCTTAAACAGAACAGAGGGGCAGGGTTTGGCAATTTGTAGTCAGCAGTGCTGCTGGTCTTTCATTGGCCTTGCCTGCCTGGCAGGTTGATTTTGTAGAGTGTTTGTTCTAACTGTTTGATGGATGTTGCACTTAATGCGGGTCATTGTGGCTGGATCGTTTTGTAGCACTGGTACCTGTGGACCTGCATTTTGTAAGGAGGCTTGTATCTAGGCGTTGTCATTTTGTAGAGTTTCAGGGTGAGCTGCGCTACAAACTGAGCGTGCCCAACGTCAACCTGAAATTTTAACAGGGATCCATTACATTATTACATTACATTACAATACAATACAGCACAATACCATACCATATCATTACATATTGTTGTGTTGAGCTTAGGGCAGGCTTGGGTGCACATACATCATCACAACTCCCATTGGACAGGGGAGTTTCTGTCCCACCCAGGGCCCACCCAGGTGAACGGACCGGCGGTGCTTCCCCTCATGGGAGGCTCTCCCCCTGTGTATGCTTGGTTCGGGAGCGAACCTGGTTGCAATGTACATCGTTGGATTTGAGGATGGAACAACCAGGGTGGAGGTTCCTGGTGACAGGAACATACCCACGCATTATCCCCGGGAGCGGGGTTGACACGGATCCCACGAAAGCGTGAAACGGGTCGAGAAAAAGAAGCGCAGTTGCGAGTAGTGTGGATTGGGATGTTTGTGATGTACATACCTACCTACCTACCTACCTGCCCAATACAGACATACTTAATACATACACACGCACACATACATACATACATGCACGCATGCATGCATACATACATACATACACTGTTTGAATACATATATATATATACATGTACATGTTTAGCTGTCACTTATAACATAGTTATAGATTACACCAATCTACGTCCTATCACTTTACAAAAATTGGTGACATGATGAAAGTTGCCAAACAGGCTTGAGGTGTGAGGCACCTTCTTTCTGCCCCCAAGTTGACCTTGCTCACCTGCTACTGTGCTGCAAGGGCCAATTTCCTTTTGACCATTTCACTTCTCCAGGCGCTGCGCTTGACTGCTTTGCGCGCACATGAAATGAAATGAATTTTGCTTCTCCCGTTTCGTGGGGCATGGTTCCTCCCGGGTCAATCGAACCGAACAGATTGACAATGGGTGTTGATTGGGTCCGGGTGTTAGTTAGGGAGTGGAGCGGGAATGGATCCAAAGGAATCTATATTGGAGGCTGGGGGCGAAACTTCACTGATTCCTTCCTACGCACCAACCAGTTATGTTGACACCTCAGCCTGTCACTATTGTTAGGCATACCCCAGTGATATACGACACCGATATGATTGGGTATATGATGGTCCATTGGGACGCCTGGGTGCACGAGAGTCGTGTGCGCTTTTGTGTGTATGCCAGGGCTTCGAGCATTGCCAAGACCTTGGCGGCTGCTTGGTGCAGCAGCTATGTGCCGAGGGGGATCTTGGTGCAGCAGCTTTGTGCTCGATCCTAACCACAACCAGATACGTAATACGTATTGAACATCGTTGAAACTCTTGGATTGACTCCATGTTCGCCTTTGTCACCCCAAAACGCAAATTTTCAACTCCCCAGCCTGTGGAGAACCCATGCGGCGACACAGGTGAGTAGAGCGGAGAGAAAGGTGTTTCCAGGTTGTTCATCCAAAAAGGTGCGATTGTTGTCCGAAGTGTGAAACACCTTCAACATCCTTCAGCCCTTACTATCCCTTATTCATCCTTCAGCCCTTATTCAGACCAGAGCCGTTTGTGGCCCAGCTTCGTTGGCTTTGGACGAATCAGCGGGATTTGATTCAGGGCGCATTGTGCATTCATCGCGAGATATTGGCACGGCCTCAGGCTTGCCGGGAGTCAGCCCAGTGGCAGGTTGCCCTGCAAGTTTGTTTCCAACATGCCCGAGGTGTGGCCCCTCAGCTGCCACAGTGATTGTGCATCATGGAAATGAAGCTTGCCTCACCCAGTTTTCAATCCATTAATTTTTGAATCTTACTGTAATTAAGCATTAAGTTGAGGTAATCAACGTATTTCTGTGATTTGCTTGGTTCCAATGCAATTATTGGCTATGTGCCTTCTTCAATCTTACTGTGCCCGAGAACATGTGTGACATTTGCCAGTTTGCCGCAGAAGGTTGTGAATGACCTTTAACTTTCGCCGTCAAACCGGATCCAACATCAAAGTTCTTTCGTCCATTTTCTTCGACATTGAAAGACCCATTTCGACCCGCCAACTTCACTCCAGAGCATCCCATTTCGCCGTGCAGCTTGACGCCCATCGAACAGACGCTAGGGTCCCGCTGGCCTCGCCCGGTGGTTCTGCTGCTCTTGGGCGTGCTGGAGCGGAGCGTCCAGTGGCAAAGGGCACTGCTGGCGCTGCGCAGGCTGCGCTGCGAAGGTGGGGACGGGAGGAGTGATGGGGAGGAGCGAGGCCTCGAAGCAATGGGCCTTAGGTTCTTTTGGGACATGCCAGAGATTTGGCAACAGCAGATCGGCGAGACATGCGTGAGGTTGAAACTCTCGAAATCGACGGTGCGCTCAGAAGACAATGTAAGGAAAAAGGTACTGTAGCGACCCCGAGTATGTTATGACAACAGGTTTGTGGGCATGCCTAGCAACACCAACGACACGATGGCAAGAAACCCCATTTCCCGCAATATTCATGATTCCTCCATGGGCTTCAATTGCTCAAGCTCGGAGCTGGCGCAGCTGCAGCCCGCATCACGGGATGTGCACCGAACCGCGAATGTTCGGGATCAAGGATGTTGACGCGATACTACTGAGAACCGCGAAAATTGGCTGCGCACCATGGTGACATCCGGCAGTGGCCACATTGGGCAGGGCTCTTTGGCGGCGCGCTTTCAGCAGATCCTTGCAGGATATCGGATCGATCGTCACCTTGCGGCTGGTCATGATCGTCACCTCGTGCTTTGAGGTGCGAAGTGACCATCATACTTTAACATCATGGACTGAAACTGGACCTTTGGAAGACGATTTTTCTCTACAACCCAGTGGTTTTCGGGTTCCATGCCAAAAGATTGGTGGATCCCAAGAGTCTCCAAGCACATGCGCCGCGGGTCAGGCCCAGATCGACGAGGCTATGGCGTTGTGTCCCGGCCATCTTCATCATGTCAGTACACCGTCTTTGCCCCATGACGTCTCATTGAACCGAACCTCTTCCAAGTGAATAGACCGGAGGTGCGTGGAGACTCTTTGTCTCCTAGACTTATTCTCCAGCTGGAGATCGCCAGATAGCCTGTTTGTATGCTGCGTCCACCGCTGCTCCAAGCAACACAAAGAAGACTCCAGCCCTTGAATTAATCCACAACTGTTGCAAGTGAGGCAGTCTTGCCTCGCATGGTGAGCTCGTCTTTCTTTTAAGAGGCCGCCAGCCTTGCTAGGACTTCGAGCGCTTTCGGAATGCGACAGGCTTGCAGCGGCAGACCTGCCACATGCGCCCCAAAACCTCACAGTGGAGGCGAAATGATCCACAGGAATGCCCAGCTTATTGTCACCACTTCTCGTGCCGCTCCCTGGGTTTCTTGAGAGGAGCTGGAAGAGCAGCCCTCCCACTTGTGTTGCCACCCTCAAAGGGCGTCCCTCTTCCTTCTTACTTCGGCCAGCAACCCAGGCGTTGATTTCCGGAGGTTTCCTTCGGTCCTGCGGTCGACGAGAACGACTTTCAGCTAGTAGTAGTAATGCCAGGAGCTACTAGTAGCTTCTTGCTACTAGTAGCGATGCACCTTGTTCCTAGAAAAGGTTTCGAGTGATGACATGCACTTTTAATTTCCGCTTCTCTTGTCTCTGGTCCCTTGGGGCTGCCCCTCTTGCTTTCAATGGTAGGGTATTCAGGACAAAAGAAGTCGGGATGCGGAGCAAGGTGCTTTCCTGTCTACATTATAATACAAGGTTCGGTTCATATCCTTCTCAGCCTCAGCAGTTGTATCTTGAATCGTTGGTGGCACCACGCAGACTAGATCTAGTCTTGAGTTGTCTCAAAACAAGAGAGCCCTGAAGTAACAAGTCAGTTTCCCGTTTGGAGAGACCATCGAGTCTCCTTCGCCAGGTGAAGAGAAAGCGGTTTGCAGCGCCATGTCTGCCTGTGTCCAAGGGACGCAGTGGGCACGTGCTCTGGAACTTCTCGAGCAGGTGACTGTCAGACCCCCGTTCGACGGTGGGGTGGTGGGGCACTTTCAGATTTTCACTGTGGGGAGATTACTTTTTGGGTACTCTTTTCAATTCCCTTTAGTTTCTCCTGTCAGCTTCCGAGCTGGCATGAGCAGCAGGCCCTGTTGCACATTGGATGCTCTTGGTCTCGGTTTCGGGCCTAGTTTTGACATATTGACCAACTGCATGTGCTAGCAGCTCGTCCTTGCGATGCAGGTTTGTGTGCGTTGACCTGTTTGTTTATACTATATAGGTGACCTTTCAGTAGGATTGTAAAAACGATTACTTCCTTCACGATATGTTGGGATCGTCCTGGATGTTCGTGTGATGGTACACTTTCGAATAGTTGCGGCCTTTGTCGCTGTGAGTTTCGACTGCTGGTTTCGTGTCTTTTAAGGTCACCAAGTCGCAAGCACAGCGCGTGGGACCTTGGGATTTGGTGACTTCGACGACCTTGATGGCTGCTTGTGGGCGCGGACGGCACTGGCGGGGCGTGCTGAAGATTCTCGCGGAGATCGGGCAGGGGTGTGACACTGTGTGCCTGAGCGGAAAGGGGTAAGACGGGCAAGGCAAGGGGGCAGGGTGTGTTTGGTTTCAGAGTGGCTCAGAGAAGAGCCATATTTGTTAAAGGTTGTCCCAACTTGTTATTCAATCTGCTGCGGGACATGATGGTTTGAGGGCAGGGAGGGATTAGCAAACGTTTTCCGATAACATAATGTTGTTTTCATTGGCAGTGCCACATTTGACGCTTCTTTTCATGTGAATCCAGGTGTGCTAGATGGAAACCATCCTCCAAATTCATAGCCGCCCAACGAATAGGTGATTCCCGGAAAAATGGGGTCCTCCGGACCACCCCCCAAACCAGTCAGGAACCGGTACAAATTTTCCAGGAAGCCTCGACCTTTCAAGGATTGACCTTGACCCTCGAACATTCCCAAGCGCGCAAGAAACTCGATGTTCGACCTTGTCGCTTCAGTTTCCTTCGCATCTGAACGCGTGACCAAAGGAGCTTGAACAGTGCGGTGACGGCCCTGGCATCTGCCCAGCGCTGGCGCGAGGCCCAAGGGCTGTTCACCTTAGCTCGGAGTGCTGGTGCCTGCCATGCCTTGCTGAGCGGCCTGGTGTTCGGTGTTTGGGAGGGCTCGAATTGCGGGTGCAGTGCGAAGCAAGACGATTGGAACCTCAGTGTTTCGTTGGGATGTGTGATGCCCCCGCTTTCGAGCCGAGAAGTAGCCAAGGTGCCTTTGAAACATCCAATTCTTGGTGGCGGGCGCTTGCCCTTTTCCATGAGCCTTGGCAGATCGGACAGCCGCCCGCAACGCAACTTCCGAGGTGTCCATGCGTGTCCAGGATTACAAGTCTCGACATAATATACATGTACTTATATATATATATATATTTAATCAAATCTATATAGAAAGTATAAATGCATGGTTGTTTCTGACGCCCCTCTCTCTCTCTCTCTCGCTCTTTGAGTCGTTGATTGCACCGATGGGTTTCTAGTTGACCGCAACTCTTGTTTGTTTGGGCGTGTGGAAAGCGTCGCCGCGGAAAACAACCCCACCCCCACCCACACCCACCTCACCCACGGCTGAGGAGGCAGTGCGGACTCAGCTGACCCTGTCCGCGGTGGCCCTCAATAGCCTTATCAGTGCATGTGAGAAGGCTATGACCTGCCATCAAGTCAAATTGTTGAAGTCGATCGGGAAAGACTATCGACAATGCATTCAACCTGTGCCCAGGAAAGGTCGGAATCAACGTAGTTGGACTCATGCAATGGCGTTCGTCACTGGCACGCCAACACACACTTAGACAAGGGTTCATCCAATGCCATAATCCACAGTGAAAGGAGTGAGGGAACGGTAAGGCGGCAACGTCAGCAAAACTGAAAAGTTTGAACATTTGTTTATGCGCAACTGCAGCTTGGGTACTGAATACTTAGCAGTCCCGAATTACGGCCGTGCATAATGGAGTAAGTTCCATCTGGAAGCGAGACCAAAGGAATCGCTTCAAATAGGGTAGAAAATAGCTAGAAAAAGAATTGAGTGTCCAGCTTGTAGTTAGGGGGGGGGGACTTTCGAATCGCCCCATTAGAGTAGAAAAGGGTCAACAGAAGGAAAGGAACCGACGCACACAGTGTGCCGAGAACCATTTCCTTCTGTTTCCCTGGTTAGCAGTGCAGGTACGCTGAAGTGGCGTCCCACTTCCATATCCCCGGACACATCGCCAGCCTCATTACCAGGCGACGATGTATCCTGCCTGGTCCCCTGCTTGTTTAAAAAAGACAACTCCTGGAAACGGAGGGGGGCACACACACAGCGCCGCATAGCGGCGCTCACTGCAACGGAAACCTGAATAGCCACCTAACAAGCCTTAGAAAGGAAAGCAAGACAGAAAGAGAAAAACGAAGAGGGCAAGAGAGAAAGATAGGTGTAGCAAAAAAAAGGTGCGAAGCCGAGGGGCGGGGAAACGTCAAGAACAACCTAACAAGCCTGAAGAAACACCTAACAAACGAAGAAACCACAAGAAGGAAAGAGGTGAGGGGTGGGGGCGGGGAATCATTCTCCGTAAGCCCGGCGGCATTCTATCCGTGAGCCCGGCGGCATATGGTTCAGTTGTTTATGGGTGAAGCAGAAACAATCCAAAACCATATTCCAAGAACGCAGGAACGTTAAATCAATATGTGATTCACGGTGGTCTCGGCGCCTCTCTTGCGAGAGGATCACACTGTGCACCCGGGTGGGAAAACACAGCGAGTCGCACTTAGACAAGGGTTCATCCAATGCCATAATCCACAGTGAAAGGAGTGAGGGAACGGTAAGGTGGCAACGTCAGCAAAACTGAAATGTTTGAACATTTGTTTATGCGCAACTGCAGCTTAGTTGCTGAATACTTAGCAGTCCCGAATTACGGCCGTGCATAATGGAGTAAGTTCCATCTGGAAGCGAGACCAAAGGAATCGCTTCAAATAGGGTAGAAAATAGCTAGAAAAAGAATTGAAGTGTCCAGCTTGTAGTTAGGGGGGGGGACTTTCGAATCGCCCCATTAGAGTAGAAAAGGGTCAACAGAAGGAAAGGAACCGACGCACACAGTGTGCCGAGAACCATTTCCTTCTGTTTCCCTGGTTAGCAGTGCAGGTACGCGGAAGTGGCGTCCCATTTCCATATCCCCGGACACATCGCCAGCCTCATTACCAGGCGACGATGTATCCTGCCTGGTCCCCTGCTTGTTTAAAAAGAAACTCTTGGAAGCGGAGGGGGGCACACACACACACACATGCGCGCCCTTGTTGGTCTATCTTTGGTTGGTCCTCTCGTTTCTTGGCCTATGTGGATGCTTACGTGCTTTTGTGTCCGGGTCTCAGGGTGTTGATCCCCACACCCGGCCAAGCTCATCCTCAAGACTTCCAAATCCACCTCTGCCTACTCAAAGCATAGACACGTCCAAGACCCGAAACGCCTTCTTTTGAACAAATCCGGCTCTTCTTTAGCCCTGGCTCTCGCTGACTCTCGCTGTGTCGGTCTTGCTGTCGAATCTCCCCCGCAAGTTGGGTGCTGTGTCGCTGCGTTTTTCCTGCAGCCCCTTTCCTCGCCAGGCGGGCGAGTGGGAGCTCGCATTGGGTCTTTTGGATGGCGTGGGGTCTAAGCAGAAATGCAGCTGCTTCCAGGGTAGTGGCCGATCTCGTGTGTCCTGAGCCCCATAAATTGCCAGCAATTAGCAGTTCGATACCAGATGATCACCATTTGGGGAAAGGTCCTTACCAAGCATCACCGTCCACAGCTACTCGTAAACAGATTTGTCGATATACACGAGTTCTGATGTTCACCGGGGTGCGCAAACAATGGCAAGACATAATGACGATCAACTTGGAATTGTGAAGCTCCAATTTTTCTCGTTGGACTTGGTATGTGGAGGCTTTTGATGAGTCACTGTTATCCAACGTTGAACGTTTTCAAGTTCTCCAAGCACATCATCCAACTGATCGCATTTTTGTGCCTCAACTCAGAGACCCCGATAACTTCAACTCAGCAACGTGTAGGACAAGCCGTATGTGGGAAAGTTCGACTCAGGTCCTGTGAGGCCTGACGCCATCACCTTTAGTGCACTGACGTTGGCGTGCTGCCAGGCATCTCCCTGCTTCACTGGGGCGTGTGACCTGCAGCCTCCCAAGTGAGCGGAAATTCACTTCATGTAGACTGTTTGAGGAATCATACCTTCAAGTGGTGGCTATATTATGTTATATTTATCAATCAACTGTCTAACAGTCTAACATCCAGTCTGCCTGCAGCATCCTGACATGCCGATGGATGGTCTCTCCGCTGCCCCGGAGGCCTCGCGCTGGCGCCGGGCGTTGGGGATGTGCTCTCCCGTGGATCTCTTGGGCCGCCACGTGCTGGCGCGAGCGGCCGAAGGAGGTGGCTCGGGGCCGCCCCGCGGCGTAGGAGACCCAAAGCGCCGACCGGTGGAACTGGTGGCCAGGCTGAGGTGAAGCGATTGGAAGCTACTGTATATATATATATATATGTTATAGCTACACAAATGTATGTCTATAGTTTGATACGTATGGCCTTCAGCTAAGCACATGGGCATATTTCATGAATACTGTGTGTTTCTGCTGTTGTTTGGTCAAACGTTTGGTTAGGTGCTTAAACTCCCAATTGAAATCCCATTTGTGTATTTGTGGTGGCGGTCTTTTGGTCATCATGGGCCAGTACACAAGCACCTGATTGTGGTGCATTTCTCTAGACTTAGACTAGCTCTTCATTTGTTTGTCACCATGTGCTGGGTTTTCACATGGTTCTCAACGAGATTGCTTCCAACCAGATCCAAAAAAACACGGGCATTCCCTACCGTTCAACTCCCCCCTTCCAAAATCTTTAGCAATCTTAACCCTTGCAGCGGCTGCGGCCGGTCTATTCATCTTTGGAGGGCAGTTTACTGTTGAGGACTTAGTTCTTTCAGATTCTTTCACTCCAATTTGGTCTGGAGATTCTTCAAGATGAACTTTTCAGACTCCAGAAGGACAGACAGAGGGCATTCGAGCTCGGCTGGCTGACTTTCGAATGACCGCAGCTCACCAATGGGAGCTCCAAGCTCAGAGTGCAATTCAAACTTGTCCATCCATATATATATATATACAGATATTCCTCCGGGAGTTGTCCCAATTCCACACTAGCACAATTGTGACAACCATTGAATATTTGCGCCTCCGGGGTGCGGGCACGGGAGTTCTACCCATCCTGAACCTCTGCAGGCGCTGCAGCAGTGGGGCTTCGGCAGGAACTTCTGCTGTCTGCACGCCAGGTGGTCCTGGGCCGATCTGACAGTGGGCAAGGCACGGACCGAACCTGCACGTTTTCATTCCTGGCCTTGGGTGCGGTGCGGACGGGGTTCGATTCGGCGTTGCCATGAAAAAGGGACGTGTTGTTTTTTGATGAAGTGTGGCTGGAAAGACTGCCTGTTGGGTTGAAAGATCATGCATGTGAACATTGAGCCTTTGAGCAGCATGGAAATGTTCCAAGAAAATCACACCAAAGTCACAGTAAGGAGATTGTCTTCAAATTCCTTTTGGGCATGAGTGAAGCTCGGACACTGTCATCGGCATTCCCTAATCAAATATAATCAATACGTTCCGTTCTTCTTGGGTTTCCTCCCCACCTCACGGCAGACTCAACTAGCGTGAGGTCAGCCCTTGATGTCCAGATCAGCTGCCAGTCAGGAGCCTTGTTCCGCCTGTCCAATGCCTCGGACAAGATGCATTTCGAAGCAAGTAGAGCACAAGATTTTCTTAAAACGTTACCTTTCTTTCCTTCTCTCTGGTTTCTGCAGAAAGCCTAAAGATTCGCCTAGAAAGGAAAGGGCCATGCTTTCAAGAGAGAGAGAGAGAGAGAGAGCTCTGTGGTGCCAGTGTGGCCCTTTGAATCCTCCACCTGGATCTTACTGTACCGCGGGGCTGGTGCTTGCCTTTCTCTTTCGAGTGGAGCACCCATGCTGGCTCTCCATTTTCACGAGCCGAAGACTGCAGGTTCCAGGTTCCCCACACCAACTGGTTCGGTGCTTTGCGGGCCACACCTGCAAAGGCTCCCCAAGGTTCACTGCGGAAAAGCCTCCGAACAGATAACATGTTTCGACATCAGGACCCATATTGCAAGCGAGGCCAGGCGGGTCCCGCACCCGCCAGTCATGGCTTCGGCCAGGCGTCGGCACGGGCACCGGCACCCCCCAGGAGCGGGTTTTGGCGATGGCATTACTCTGCCAGCAACGCAGCTTCTGGTGGCTCCGACGTGCAGGTCAGGCCACTGCTCCTGGGATGCGGAGCAGCTGGGAGCGAGAAATGTTTGACAAGTTTAGGAGTCAGTCTAGGGCTGCAATGTTTGCGGCCACCATGGCCTCTAGAAGTAGTCAGGGTCAGAGATGTGGGGGAAGAGAAACCCGTGAACATTTCGAGGAGAAAGGTATCCAGAAAGAAATCCAGAAAGTGACCAACCTTTCGCCACCTTCCCCTCTCAAGGATAAGGAGTATTCGGTATTCCCTTCATTCTCGAGAGCGGTACCCCACCAGTTCTTCATGCAAAGCTAAAGGTTTCCTTCTCGGTGCAGGCGCAGGCGACTGGGGCACCATCGACGCACGCTGTGTCCTGGAAGAGCAGCGCCAACACTTGAAGCAAGTGGCCAGTGGATTGAAAAAGATGGGTTGGGAGGGTGGGCCGGTGTTCTTGAGGCATGACCAGGACCCCTTCAGGAAGACGCCTGCGTTCCATAGATGCCATCACCGCTGTAGAGGCACCTTTAGGCACTTTTGCAGACATGTGTGATCATGTGTTTATATATATATATGTCGATTTGTCTAGTCGGATTCACCCGGTCTACTTCTGATAGTTATTTTTTTGGAGGTCGCAGGTGTACTTCATGAAGCCCCTTGCGACACTGCAAGTCTATCCTTGGCATGCTCTTGGTCGGGTCAGTTCAGCCACTGAGGCGCGGGATCCTGAACGGGCTGAGGAAGCTCAAGTTCAATTGCAAGGGCCAGATCGAGGCTGCCAGGGCTGCCTTCTCGGCCTCGAAGAGTGGTGGGGCCAAAAGGAACCCTTGCAACAGTAGGTGGCCAGAGTTGTTGGGAAATGCCCTTGCTTCGCAAGGCTCAACTCCGGTGAAACCGGAGTGGGCGGCAGGTTCGGCAGGCCCAAGATGGATCACAAAGGTGGAGCTTTTGGGGTTCTTGGAGCATCCACTCACTGGATGGACACCACCTTTTGGAACTCTTGGCTTGGTGATCTCTTCGAACGTCGATTCTCGGATGAGAAACCCCTGGAACTGGATGCTTGGAAACGAAGTGATGCACAAACCGCTTCTGCCATCTTCTGCCACCATTTGTTCCACCAAGCAGCCAATAGCATTCAATAGCCACACTTGAGCATGCTTGCGGCGTTGATGTTGACATACCGACCCTTTGAACACAAGATGCGTTCTGCCGCGTTATGGCCTAGCTTTCATCAAGCCTTCACAGAGGAGATTGGCCAAAGGAACGGGCTTGCTGATGTGCTAAGCTGCCATTCATTCGCTGGCGCTGGCATCTCCGTCTTTCTCGAGTGCGCGTGTTTGAGCCAGGTCTTCCCTTGCATGAAGGAGGCAAACAATGCCGCCATTTGGCAGGCATACTTCAATTGCGTGCGGGGCCGAAGAACACTGGGGCATGTGATATGAGGAGACTAAGACTTCGAGCTGCAACGCCTCCTCTTTCTTCTGCTGCTGCTGCTTCTTCTTCTTCATTGTTTCTCTTGTGCTTCGTTGATGAATTCTTGAAGCCTGTTGTACTTCGGTCCTCTTTACCTAGAATGACAGAGCAGAGAAAGAGGACTTAGCGACTTAGCGCGACGGCACAGTGGGTGGACGGAATCAGTTGTAGACGATATCTTCCAGCCAGGCAGGGATCAAGGCTTTGGCTCGTGCGCGCTACATGTCGCAGCCGGGATCAAGCCTCAGGCTTACCCGTCCCGCGCAGAACAGAAGCAGATCAAGACCCAGAACGCTGAGCAGTGATTCTTCAAGCCGCAGGGCTTCCCTTCCTCCCCCTTCTGGAGGGTAGCGCTAGAGTCCGCTAGAGGTCGCCGTCCACAAGGCACCTCCGAACACTTGGGGAATCAACTCGGTGTCCCACCTCTTTTTCAACCCGCGCCCAGCCGAACGGCCCTTTGCCAGACCAGGCGCGGGATCAACTGGCTGGGTGGGTGGCTGTGAGACGTTGGGGGTGTAATTTTCTGGTGGATGTCTTCCAACGTTTGCGGCCATCTCACGTACTAGACTTCCCTGACAAACGGGTTTTGTGCAGGAAAACATGGTGACCAACGAAAAGAAAAAGTTCAGGGTTGATGTCAATAAGCCCTCAAACATCCCAAAGAGGCACATCATAGAGGCCAACAAACATGTCCCACTAGGAGCTACGGTAGGATTTTCATCTCTGTTTTTTCTGTTGTGGGGTGAGGGGCTCAATCGATCGCAATCGCCAAGGGTTTGCATTTTGCGGTGTTTCAACGGCAGACTTCGCAGAGCTCCCCCCAGGCCATGATTGGCTCGGCGATGCGAAGCACCGGCGAGCGGCACGACCAACGAAGGGAGAGAGAAGGACGTGATGTATTGGAGTGGTGAGTAAGGTGAATGAGCTGGTTGGAGGAAGGCTCCAGAAGTTCGGAATTGGAACACGGATCCTGAACACATGATACACATGGGGCAGTTAAGATTGGGCAGTGGGAACATCTGTTTTGCGGCATACCCAAGTGGAGCAAGGGCCGTGCTTCAAACTTGCACGTGCCTTCGCAAGAGTTGAGAGATGGGATGCCAACAGTTCTATAGTTCTGTGTGGTGGATGGGCACATAAGAAGTTACTCTTGCGCCAGCTTGCAGGCATGTGAGACAGGCATGTGAGGGATCTTGCTCGGCTACGTTGGGACCCGTTTGCCTGTCAGACAGGAGTCAGACAGGCCGGAGAAACGGTGAGAAACTGCTTCTGTTGATCCGAAACCAACTGGGTGTGGGTCATGGCACCGGGGAACGTGGTTGACACCAAAAATGAACAGAATAGACTACCGGGAAGGTCAACCTACAAGGGTTTGGGGCATCGGTCTTGCGCAGCATGTTCGGCGCTTCGACGACGCGTCCCTTGCCCTCATGGGCGGGTGCGCTATTTGTGGGGTAGTCGTGTTGTTGACTAACAAAACGGAAAGAACTTAGCGGTGAATTGACCACGCAGTATGCCGCGAAGTAAAAGCAGCAACTAATTTACACAAACGGCATATCTAGAAGGGCCCTGTAGGAATGGGCACCCCATTTGGACCACCAAGTGGGCCAGTGCATGGTGGGATCTGAGGCTGTCGCAGTCTCAGACCCTGGGCGATGGTCAGGTGCAGCGGGAGTGGCCTGTGGTGTTGGAGCCTCGCCAGCCTGTGGCAGATGACACAACACTCCCTGAAATCATCATGGAAGTGGAAAACCGCCTGTTTGTAGAAGAAAATCGTCTTCCAAGGGGTCGTGGTATTTCAGTTTCCGTATAACAATTGAAGAATTCAGGGGTGTCTCAAAAACCATACAGCACAATTACGTGTTCATGTGGATTCCCATGGCCAGTGACAGTGCACTGGAGGCAGCTTCTCCCAAGTTTTTGAGCTTGCAGCATGGCATAGCTTCTTTTTTTCTTGCTGTTGGACCTTCGGCCAAGCTCTTGGCATGTCACCCGCGCAGTCGAAGCTAGCTCTTTGGTTGGAAGAGCAGCTGTGCTTGGAACGCAGCTCGGCGCCAAAGTATGGGTGAAAGCATGCCCAGAAAGCATACCTCTGAAGATCTCTGAAGCATACCCACCGAATTTGACACCGCTTTGGCCTTCACACTGCGCGAAGCATGCCTCGGAAGCACACTCCAAATGCAAGCACTCCTGCTCCGGTATTCCGCGCACACACACACACACATGCACATGCATCCCTCCCTCTCTCTCTCTCTCTGCATTTTTATGGCACCCCTGCCCCCCAAACAAACATTTGGTCAGCCTTTTTGTGGTATCGTGATTGTGGTGAACTTGGAGGGGTACTATATATATATATATAAAATATACTATACATACACATTCATTTAAACAACCATATATATATATATATAGATATATTATGTATATATATATATAGACCGTTTTGGGCAGCAGGATTTCACGTACTTTCAGAATTTCAGAAGAACCTTTAAATGCACAGAATATTCCAGGTTTCTAGAGCTTCGCAAGCCGGCGATGCCACAAGGGTTGTTCTCGCTGTCCCTGTTGTTGGTCCTTAGTCCTGCGAGCAAAACGTGTGGTATTAACGTTCTTTTTTGGGGCCGTGGGAGGCAAAAACAAAGGTTTTTGCAGTGTTTATTATACTGTATTAGGTTTGCTGCCACATGTCATTCAACAATGGCCAAACACAGTAAAATAGACTGTAATGTGCGATGTTCTTGCTAAATTGAATATTCAACTTTGATCCAATCTTGATCAACCATGACCATTACCCAAACTCGACCTCTGGAAGCCGCTCAAAGTACCTTATGAGGCCAAGGCTGAAATTTTGCTTGTGAATGCTTTTGGTTGCGACAAAATTTTGAGCGACAGGTGCAGTCCAGAGGCCCAAAAGTGTGAGTTCGTGTTGGTGCTATTTCTTTCTGCTGGACGAGTGGTGATGCAGTTGGTGATGCAGAAGATGCGGGTGGGTGGCAGGGACCACGAACATTTTGTACTGGGCGCTAGACTCGACCAGCATCCACCAAGAAAGCATCCAAAGCTCCATGTCATGGCCTTCAGGCCAGCGGCTCCAACAAGATTTAGAAGCCCGGCATGCGCAGCTGATCTTGGAGTGGCTTGGTGGATGATCGGACGTTGCAGGACTTGTTTTAAACTGTGTCGCACAAACGTCTTCAGAGAGAGCCCCACCACACCTGCAGTCAGACGTTCTGGGCCATCGGAGAAGAACCCACCGCCGTTCTCACCAGCGCTGACCAACCGATCGAAGGGCTCCAGGGCCGAAGTAGGTCAGCGCCTTTTGGTCGCGGTTGCTGTTGTCATGACATACTGGGTTTCTTTGACAGCACTCATCCCTCCATGTGAGCACCCCTGCCAGGGGTGCTTGGAGCAAATTGGGTTGGCAGGGGGAGTTTCTAGCATGTGTTAGGTCTGTTAGGTTGAGCCAGGTCTTATGAAAGCGCCGAATCAAGTGTGCGGGACCTGCTTCGTGGTGATCTGTGGTGCATCAATTTCACTGATGGAGCGTTGCTGAAATGAAGCGAGTGCCCAGCAAAAGTGTCGGGTTCCACTCTGGGACACCTTTGTCAAGATCAACGGCTTTCGGATTCCAGATCTGCTCTCCCCTGTTGACACTCCAAGGCTCGACCAACGGATTCAGCGCCCCCGCACGCGGGGCGATAGCCCTGAGAGCAGCCGCCCGCCCACGGCCGCCGCCGCCATGCGTGTCCGCCCGCCGCCCAGCGCCATCCGCCGTGCCGGCGACACGAGCCCCCCCGCCAGCCGCGGACCGCCGTCGCGGCCGACGTCGCCGGCGTCGGGGCCGGCATCGCGGCCGGCGTCGCGGCCGACGTCGCCGGCGCGTGACAACCGTGCGGCGCGGCCGGACAGGGAGCCGCAGCCGGCACCAGCGCACAAGATGGAGGTGGAAGCCGTTGGCAACCTGGTGGTGTGGGAAGATCGAGATAATGCTTTAATATGTTGTTTTATTGTAGTTTTATAGTTATATCCTGTTGTGCCCCAACAATTTCCAGTGCCGGTCCCGTGCCCCAACTGAGGCATTGTGCCGAGGGACCGTCCGCCCAGTCCCAATCCTCGGAGCAGCGAGCTGAGTGAACCTCCCACCGAGATGCTGCCCCCCAGCCTGCCGGTGATGACCTTGCCACCGGTGCCCAGCTTGGGCATGCAAGGACGAACGACTGGTGGAAGCCAACCGGGTAAAGGTTGGTGTGGGACTGGGTGGAGCAAGGCAAGGTGGAAAGACGGATTGAGAGTTTGTTAGCCACCAAAGTGGTCCGGCGCTGAGTTCTGTGCATTCACTAAGACTGACTTGCAATGATCAAGACGCGTGAGACGTGTGGAGGCGATATGTAGGTGAATGGTGGGCCACCAGATTGTCTTGAACATGTGCCCAACAAGTTGCTATATATCTATTTGGGCCCTCTACGTCACCTCGTCAACTGACATGGACGAGAAACAGGCACAACTCCAAATCGGATACCATCCTTTGCGCTGTACTGATCGACTCGGCTGCACCGTTCTTGATCGTCTCCTACCCGCAAGTAGGCCATAGTAAACCACCCCTACACCACCTACTTCGGACCCAGCACAAGGGCATTCCGACAAAAATCTGACTGAACTTCCTCTCGAACACCCGCTGGGATGTCCCAAAAAAGACACCAAGGCAAAGCCCTCGGACCCAGGACCTCCAGGGCTCGACCCCCAGACCTCCCGGGCTCGACACCGGATCCTTCCGCGCGGGCTCTGCGGTAGGAGGCGAGCGATCCCCACCGGCCCTCCCGCCACAGCCGGCGCTGAACGCCGAGGAGCGGAGGGTCGGTGCGTGAAGGCTGAAGGGGGTGGGGTGAAGGCTCAACTCATTTCAACTCACTTCATGCAGCTCCACCCAAAGTCTGTATTTACTTCTGTTTTTAGAGTCAGAGAGGTACGGACGTTCAGTTTTTCGGGGAAACGGACTTCTTCCTGGAATTGGATGAAAGCTGGGCTTGCCGATGTACGTATACCATTTCGTCCCATCGTCCTGGAGGGACGCTGAACCATGCAATGCCCCCTGGAAATGGGCTGAAAGAAACACAAAAGGAGTGGTGCTGTAGAGGGCAGTTGTCAGTTGTCAAAGTCAGATTTGGGATGCATGTTCTGCTTCATCCCCGTACTTAGCACAACCGAGTAAGAGTAGGGATGCATGGAGCCACGTAGAACTCAACGGTCTTTGTCATGAGTGAGAGAGAGAGAGAGAGAGACAGAAACAGACAGAGACAGACAGACAGATAGACGGACGGACGGACGGACGGATGGAAAGAAAGAAAGAAAGAAAGATAGATAGATAGATAGAGAGAGAGAGAGAGAGTGAGTGAGTGACTGACTGAGTGAGTGAGTGAGTGAGTGAGTGGGGGAGTCAGAGGGTGAGTGAGTGAGGTAGGGAGGAAGGGAGGGAGGGAGGGAGGGAGGAGTCAGGGTGCATTTTCCCCAACAGCTACACTTCCCCTTTCCCTCTCCGCACGAGTCCTTTCGACATTTCGGAGAGCAACAATTGTTTCATTCCCCTTTGGACAGGCCATGTTTACAACTGCCAGGGCCAGTTCGCCATCCAACCCTCTGCTCCCGATTCGGTGCAAGCTCTGGTCGAAAAGGCTCCATGGCCTCCTGAACCCCTGGTTCCTCACGGGGTGGGTTCGCCCGCCGAGGTCCAATGGTATCCAGCCAAACCACCAGCAAACTAGCAAGCAAAGGGCTCACCACCCAAGCCAAGCTCAAAAAGTCTGCACCACCAAAGCCAAGGCCAAGCCCAGGTCTCCCGGTATCCAGTCTCCAACCTTACACCGCCTTACACGATCTGGATGTCAACCGGCTCTGCTGAGGCGTCCGACAAACCTGGAAAGACCAAGATGTCGATGTCGCTTCCGGGGCAGATTGTGCTCCACGATACTGAAGATGATGATGCAAGTGACGGGATGGCAGCAGCTTGACTCAAGGTGTTTGCTTTGTGGAGTGCAACACTTGGAGCAGTTCACGAACTGCTCTTGGGCTTTAAAAGTAGCCACATTCCAAAACATTTGATCAACTGGAGCTGGTCTCAGATTTCACGTCCAGTTTGTCATCCCCAAATAGATCCAAATAGACTAAAAAGTCATTCTTCTCCACACACACGTACACACACACATGATTGATTGATGGATGGATGGATGGATTGATTGATTGGATGGATAGATAGTTGGATGGAATGATTGATTGATTGATTGATTGATTGATTGATTGGATGGATGAATGGATGGATGGATGGATGGATCGATAGATAGATAGATAGATAGATATGCAATATGCATATGCATATGCGTATGCGTATATTATATATATATATACACATAATTCGTAGACCCCACTACCAACTGGCAACTCCCTCAAACTCCTCAAGCTCTCTGCACATCGCTCAGGTGACGCCCATCCCTACGGGGCGCTCGGACACCTTCACCGCCAGGTCTGGTGGAGATTTTGGGCACACCCAATCCATCGGCGGCGGGCGGCTTGGATGAGGAAGTCCTGGGAGGTTCCCGGCTGAATCAGCTGTTCCGTGCAGGCTTTGTTTCGGCCGCAACCTTGAAAGAAGGAGATGGTTCGGCAGGGGCAGGGAATGCAGGTCGTCAGGGCTTGCAGCTTCCTAAACCCTGGCAAAACCACCATGAACCGGCACATAAATAGACCAGTTTGGGCTTCCTCAACAGCTTGAGAGGGGTGCCTTTTGGCGTGCATGTCGCCTCTAGGAACAGAAGGACATACCCGCGTGTGGCTGTTTATAGAGTCGTGGCACTGGGCAGAGTGCCCTCACCATCAACAGAGGACAACGTGCTAAACTCCGCTTTGATGGGTGTGACTACTTGATGGCAGCTGAGTCATTCCTACTGCCCGTTTTTTCCTTGAACATCTGCCAGCTCGGACGAAGCAACTTTGCGGATCCACGTTGGCTTGCCGTACGAACGAAGCACATGAGAGAAGCACTCACGTGGCACGTGGAGAGGATCACTGCATCGTGACACGGTCAATCCAAGATCTTGCAAGGCGGTTTTTTCGTTCAAACACTTCGATTGCGAGGATTTCTTCGGTCGATTGCACCGAGGTCGATTGCACCAAGTGTTTGCTAGTTAGTGCTGAATTCCCTGGGGTACCCGAAGTTTGTGCTAGTTGCTGAAGGGTCAACAGTAAATGATGTGTATAGCCATGGGTGACAAGTCCTGCGTTTTCTTCAATAGGTTTGTCCATGCTTTTCCCAGGCTCGACCTGAGGGGCAGTGCAAACCAACAAGGACATATATACAAAAATTTTAGAGAAACGTAACGTTCCCTGGAGGCATGTTGGTTCCCCACAGCTTCGCGAAGTCGAAACATGTCAGTTGGCCGAAAACTTCATCGAACAAATACGGACACACTCTACACACCCAAACGTGGAACCATCAGTCTAGTACAGTAGATGAACCTTCATTTTCAAGGACTCACTTTCCAGGGTCGATTGTTTTGTCAGGGTACCTTTCGCTATGGGGGTTGTATAAATCGATGTCAAGCATCGAAAACTCCTTGTGAATTCCCTTCGTCGCCCATCGCAGTTCGATACGAAGAAGATCCGGTGAAACCGTTCGTCGCCGCTTCTCAGGCGAAAGAGCATCGCAGAGGCGGAGCGGAGCGAGCGGGGCGCACATCGTGCAGGTAGTGGGATTCGGGACTCCGCATGCCCTAAACGGTAGGGAATAAACTTGTTTTCTTATTTTTTAAAAATATAATAAAGGTACGCGCGTAGCTACATTTTTGAGCATTTTTGCTTGACCTTTGCTTGGGCTGCTGGTTTGAATGCCTGCATGTTGCTAGGTTTATTAGAAATGACTCTAGGAACCAAATGAATAGCGATGAATAGTGCGAGCGTGAGCTATCCTGCGTCCATTAAGTGGGCGCCTACTTCATTAAATAAGGGTGAGGGCCAGGTGTGGCTACTTTTTGAGAAGAGCCTATTTTTGGATGGCCTTTGTCCCGGACTTGGTGGAGCGTTTCCGCATGCCAGTTGTTCGGCGTAGCTACCGGCGACCGATCACGGTGCGCTGAGCCCATTCGGCGAACGGTGTGGGAGTCACCAGCCGGTCACCAGAGCTAGGTCGGTCAGGCCCTAGTAGCGATGCCCCAGCTTCTTGTTCGTAGTAAGGCCAGGAGAGCGCCCCTAGTAGCGTCCGATCGCTCCGTTCGTAGCGATGCCCTTTGGTTGTGGTGGCTTCTTATGATGACTTTTGGACACTTCTGGACCCAATCGTGCGCCACCCAGGCTCAGGAATTGACACAAATCAAAGCAACGAATAACAACATCCTCTAGCTCTTTTGACCATGATCAGCCCACCATCCCCCATAGATTTTGATTGGACACATGGAAGTTCTCTCACGTTGCACCGCCCAAAGGGCTTTTGTCGTCCACGGCGCGTCCGAACGCGTTTGCCACGTCCAGCGTCCGCATCCAGTACCACGACCCCGGGCGGGAGTCGAGAAAGTCCATCAAGGCGCAGAAGGATGCTCGGATGAGGCGCGGGTGGGCGAGCTGACGACGTCGTCCTGGTAAACGTATCGAATTTGGACACTTGGGATCATTTGGGTTTGTGAGGCTTGTGTCCTGGGAAGTTCCGATTCCCAGGTCAGTTCAGGCTGGTCTCAGGTCAACACTGGTTTGGGATGTTGATGACTGGTTGGGTCAGGAACTTGGATTTTCCCGAGCTGGGACCTGCTTGAGTGTTCGTGTCTTTGTGGAAGGTGGTTTACGATGAGCCAGGGAACAAGCCAATGTCAAATCACCGTGAGGAAGCAGGACAAGGGGTTGGTGCGGTGGGTTTATGACTATCAATGCCTATGATGGCAGAATCCCCCAAAGCTGGTTCACATGGCCCAATCCCCTCGTTTTTCATTCGCCATCTGCTCTGAAACCACTGAACTGCACTAGCTTTGCGCAAGGGTCTTCATCCCCAGGTGGTTCACCATTGAGCAAGAAGGACAACCCACGTGTCCATCCCTCCAGGGGCATGAGCACAGACCAGCTCTACACGCGGCGCAGCGGCGTGGCGCCGCCGCCGGTCGCTTCAGCGTCCAGTACGCCCAGCACGCCGAACAGGAGCAGGAACAACGCCAGGTACCAGGAGCCAAAGTGAGGAGGGTTTACCAGACAAATGGTGGATGAATGATGATGAATGCTGGTTTTTCCAATTGGAGCGTATAGAGGGCTCGAAGTTGAAGGCATGAATAGGTTCTGCTTTGAAGCTCGAAGCAGGTGGGTTTCTCCGAGAGGTTTGAAAGTCTTCCAATGTGTATATAGTTCACGGGCCTTTTGGTTCTGTCGTCGAACGCTTCGGGGGCCAGAATAGCTCTTCGCCTGAGTGATATTCATTATCGTCAGTTACGATGGTGAGGCCGGGTGCAAATTTTTGACTTCCCAGCATGTTGAAAGCCACGTAGCCTCCATGTCCACTGAACATGTCCCACACACATCAGAGGAGAACCATCGAAGATACGGGCTTACCGGGCTTATATACCCATCAAAACAGGGGTCAAATGGATTCTAGGTGTATGTTGAGTTATGTTGTGCTGATGGACCTGGGCTGGATCATCTAGTTTTTGTGCATCAATGCCATCCAAGGGCAACATAGATGAGGATTTGGGACATGTTGCTAGATGACCAGGCACGAGCCGCACAACAGGAAGGTCATGCACACACACACACAGCACATGTGTGGCAGATCCATCGCGTTGTGGGCATGCGAGTTTTAGAACAATATATATATATATATATACACCGTTGCAGGCTATTTCTATGTATATCAGTATATCTAATTTTTTCCCCCTGTGTCGATTGGGCGTGAGGACAACTTCTTCGTCAAGAGGGAGCAGGTGGAACACACAACTTGGCTAGGACGACGCTCGACAGATGACGGCGGATTTTGGAGCAAAATTTTTTGTCCGAAAAACGGGGCTCCTAGGCCTTTCGTGAGTAAAGCTTGAAACAGAGTTGTTTCCTTTCTTCTTGAACCATGCTTGGCCTTTTGTTAAGGATTGCACCCTGCAGTTCTCGTCGGGTGGCCCAATCTGGTCGTTGTGGTCCGTGTGGCCAAGTCGCTGGGGTGATGGCAGAAGATGAGCCGTAAAGCACCCACGGAAGAGCAACAACAGGTTCCGAGAAGTTGGAAGTCCAAAGTCCGAGGGCAGCATGTTACAGTTTCTGCAGACGGCGGAAGTCCCACACAAATTCTGATGGGAAAGGATTTGCTATATAGTAGGTTGGAGGCCATCGCTTGTAGGTTGGAGGCCGTCCCTAGTAGGTTAGGTTTCCGCATTCGATTTGCGAGGCTTTGAGTCGCAGGTACCGGAGGTCGGATCGTCTTTGGACGGAGGGGCCGGCCTTGGGCCTTGCTCTCCACTAGTTGGTGCGAACATCTGTTCCAACAACTTGTGACTGTTGCGCCAGTTGACTGGGCCGGTTTGCTGAATACACACACATTTTCTTGAAAGAATCGTGGCGGCATGGATGGCATGGCTCCTTGAAACAGGTGGGCCTTTCCACTTCCATGATTACGCCGGGGGAGTGAAAAGGGGAGTCTCGGTCAGGTCAAGAGAAGAACGATTGCACGACCAGAAAACGACTCGCATGGGCATTAATCTGTATCGCTCCAACATGTTTTGGAACTTGATCAGCTTGCCAAAGAAGTATGCTGTCCCCCGTTTTAGTCGTTTTAGTAGCTAGAAGCTACTAGGTTGGAGGCCATCGCTAGTAGGTTGGAGGCTTGGCGCGATGGTTCCATCGGCACCGCGAGAACACCGGGCGAACGGGAAATGCACTCAGGTCCGATCTGCTTACTTCGAAACGGTGTTCTGAGACCGGGCTGCACTGTTTTGGGGCGCGGCAGGTCTGGCACTGCTAGAGTGGACCCGGCAAACATCGGTTTTTTCCCTTTTTGGCTCTGTCAATGTCCGTTCATCAGCCCAGCGTGAGAAGATGGTCCTACTTTTACAATGCTTTCCACACCCTCAACCATATTCATATTTTTCTGGGGTTCTCTGCTTGTAAGTATAAAGCCAAGCTCCACCGAGCTTATAGGCTACTTAGTAACTTAGTAGAGATGGCTCCCTAGAAAACATCTCCAAGAACCAAGCTAGTGGGTTGCTATACAAGAATGTGGAGGGAGATATCAGGCGACGTCCTGATTTCAACTTGAACCAACCTCGGGCACACTACGATCTTTTCTTGTGCGCCGATGAAAAGGAACAAGTGATGGATGCTGGATTTGAAGGGTGACCGCCCCGTCAGACCGAGGTGTGGTCATTGTGTTGAACATGGTGGTGATGTCCTTTGAGGCTGGGCTGTCGCCGACAGCGGCCTCGACAGCGGCATGGGAACTGACTTAACAGCTGATTGGCCGACTTCTTTGGGCACAGTATATGCCACACGCCCCCTTGCCCTCGCATTTCATTCTCCTGCCATGGCGCCAGGTGCAATACCAAGGCCTAGACACTGGTCAAAAGATCGTGGCTGGGACAGCACTGAGGAAGAAGTCTGGTCCGATGGAATCGTGGCACGCTGGAATCGTGGGGCCGATGGACAAGGAATCCCCGATTTGTTGGCCTTTGCATGCTTTTGCAATCTTGCGTCTTGAGTGAACCTCCTCTGGACAATAGGTGGTGGAAGACCAAGGGCCCCACCCAAATTCTGTGCCATTCTTGCTGGCTGAGGGCTTTCCTCTCTACAATTTGCCCGCCAGAGATCTATGGCCAGGAGCCGGGGGCCACAGGTGACACGGAGGGATGCGTAGAGGGGGTTCGTGGTCAGGTGAATCTCCATGTGAGGGCGTTGAACGCTATTTCCATCGATTTGGGATCACTGTGCTGTGTAGGCTTTTTTCTGATACCTTCCCCAGTTCTGCAAAGGATATGGTCCGATGTGCCTACTTTCGTGAGAAGCAAGTTCACCTCGATCGCCAGATGTTATGTACTAGGCTGTGAACCCAATTGACTTGTTCAGCGGGAGGAATGTCCAATGTGTTAGATGGCTGAAGCTTCAATGTTCAAGCTTTTGGAGCAGTATCATCCAAATGTGGCCAGGGCTGGGCCCCCCCCTCAATTAAAAGTCAAGGTTGTTAAGGTATGATGGAACCTTTTTTGCAAGTGGTGGGTCGAAGTCCCCTCGGAATTCTGTCTACTTATGAGCGGCGATTGAGGTGGCCGTGAAGTTGGTCACTTGCATGTTTGCGGGATGTGCTGCTCCCACTGAGGCTGAACAGGTCTTCACTGTCACCTCGCAGCTTGGCAGTGTGCGGAAGTGCTTGCACGTGCGAAGTGGGCGAGAGGTGTCCTTGCTTGGGGTAACCTCTTGAGAAGCAGTCTGCCATGCAAGCGGTGCCACTGCCATGCAAGCTCCCTTTCGGTCTAAGCCGGCCGGTGCACGGCCCTTCAGGTGGTTTTTCGGTGTCATCTTTGCCGTGGAGATGCTCGGCATCACGCGCCGCGCCCGCGGCCAAAGCAGAGGTGTTCTCTCGGGCCAAAGCAGAGGGCATCGGGTCAATCGGGTAAACCCTCCGTTGCGCCCGGGTGCGCAACACGCCGGGCGACCCCGTTGCGCCGTGGCGTCCAGCGAGGTGGGAGGGGCTGATGCATGTTTTTGAGACGGAGGTCAGGAGCCCCGAACGTAGCGTTCTTGTTCCTAGTAGCGATGCCAGGAGCCCCGTTCGTAGCTTCTGGAGGGTTGGGTCTACCTGAGTGAACCTCCCAGATGGGATTCCAATTTTCCACCCAGTGGCGCCTTGCCTCCATTCAGGATCGTCCTTCGGGCAGTGGGCTGGGGCCCATGGCAGCTCAGCCGCACGGGCTGGTGGGCATATTATGCTGGCTCTGCCAGGGGGTTCACATAGCTACTCAGCGGGACCTGTCCAAGTAGACATTGTCAGGATGAAAACCCAGCTGTCGGCATAACCTGAATTGGAACCCAACATTCCCAGAACGAAGGTAATGAAAGCAGCATATGACAGGATTTGGGGTCTTTGGTGCAGCCTGAGCAGTCGTTCAGAACCTGATTGGCTTGTTGAATGTTTGGACGCTTTAGCTTATTTACACACAACTAGGATTCTTTCAGTTTGTTTTCCTATTGGACCCAGACCGTCAGCTCAACTGCCAATCATTGGTCTTTGGTTGCCGGGCGCTCTACTCCTTGGAGTCCTTGTCCCAAAGAAGCCGGGCAAAAGACCAAACACAGATCCACATGCCCCCCAGTGCTCCTTCCCACCAATTGCACGTCTTCTCAAGGTTTCCCCCCTTAAGGCGGCGGCGGAGGGTGTACACACCAGTGTCGGTGTACGTCGTGGTTCGATCCTCGCAGACCGGTCTCGAGCACCACGTCGCTTCTTCGGTCGAGGAAGTTCCCCTTCGACTTTTGGAATTGGTTCGATGCTGGGATGGTGGCGCTTTGGATCCTCAGTGAGACCTACTTTCAGGTGAGGGGAACCGTCTGGGAGGTTGGCGCTTCGCAGTTCGGAAGGTGGCGGTGGCGATGGGAAGATGATGGAAGATCGGGGGGGCTGGAGACTTCCTGCAAACCAGGAAGGCCAGAACACTTGCAGAACAAGATGAGGAGAGTGATATCCTTTTGCATGAGAGGTGATGTCCTTGTGCGAGCATTGTGTGATAGACTGCCACAGCCCACATCCTGTCCAGTCCTTGGACGAGCGCATCATCCGCTTAGCGCGAACGGCCCGATTGTTCCGCTGCTGGTCTGCAAGAGGATCCTGGCTGAGAAGAAACCGTTTGATCAATGAGGATATCCAGGATGGGTCGAAGCCTCCAAACTTTCACTTTGACATGGGGGTTTAGCACTGTTTAGCATATCATCAAAGGGGAGCTACTTCCTCATGGCTTTCCAACTTTCTTCACGACATGACATGGGGAGGCCTGCAATTGGATCGACCGGTCCCAGGGTGGGTTTGGCAGCATGGTCAGCATGGACTCCCTTTGGACAGACGGATTCCGTAGAGTGACCGCATGCAACAGCCGACTGCATGTTGCAGCGTATTGCAACGTATCAAAAACCGGTGAGTTCAGGGTGCAACGTGTTCTGGGTATGTTAGTGATCCAGGCACTGGATACCATAAGTCGGCGCCTTGAAATACTGAGGCTTGGTGAAGGTCATTCGGATGATTCACGGCTGCTGGGCTGGACTTGGGTGCGAAGCCTCCATGTATTGGCGGTGGAACTGCTTCCCGGAACCGGACAACAAAGCACATGAGTGCTAGGTGGCTAAAACGGAATGTGCATCGAAGTTCGGCAGCGGTAGCCCGAAAAGAAAAGCAAGCCCGACAAGCAAAGAGAAGCGCCTTGAGAAGGCAAGTATACAGGATTGAATAAGCCGACAAGTTGACTTCAGGTTGTCGGAGTCATGTGTCGTCCCCATACTTCAACTCAGGAAATACATATATATATATAACTATATATAAATATGGATATACGTATATATATATATGTTTATCGTATATATATATACACTGTATATTGTAGTAGTTAATGGAGCGCAATATAGCACAATAATACGCCTGCGTGTAATTACTTTGCAATTCCTCAACAATTCAGCCGCTGAAATGCAGCTTCAGATGCACGAACTCCGTCTGGTGTGGGCTTATTCTAACTTATTCAGCTTGATTCACCTGAGGCTTTGACTCCCTGTACCTCATGATGACTGCCATGCGAGGAAGCTTAGTGTCTTGGCTCAGGGGCCGGTGGCACCTCTCACGAGAGCATCGAAGATTGCTCTTGATGCGACGTGGTAGCTACCCTGTCGAATCACGGTCAGCCAACCGTTGCGGAAGAAATCAGATTCTCATGTGGCACTGGACAAGCTTTGCACACCAAGGCAGTGCTTTTCTGGTCCTTCATCTTGCTGCTGGTGGCGTTTCTTGACTGAGTTGGGACGAGTGATGAGTGTAAGTTGTCCCGACTCGGTCTCTTGAGGAACCCGTAGCTGACTCTTGCTCGCAGAACATTTTCTACTTCTTTGGTTTATCCGAGATTTGAAATGGTCAGGTCGCCTAACTAGCTGGCTGCAGACAACCTATCAGGTCAATCCTGCCCAGTGAACCCTCTTGGCACCATTTCGCATAGATGGATGAGCATCGTAAATGGTCCAGATTCCTGCAACTGTTTTTTCAGTGTTGCAGCTATTGACATGGCCATCTCCGTGTTTTGTTCTGACTCCATCGCCCATCATGACCCCGTCACAACCGCTTCACGAAAAGAGGATAACGCCACCGCGGCGATGCTGCGGCGAGTGACGGGAAGAGTGCTGCAGATGCGTGACGGGTGGGATGATGATGATGATGATGATGACGATGGCCAATCATTCCCCAAACAGTGTGGACACACTTAGGGGTTCTTACGGTAGTGGTTCACACTTAGGGGTCTCTTGCCGGGGTATTTTTTTAATATAAAGGCCGCTCTGCCCTCCTAGAAGTGATGGCCTCCAACCGTCTGAGGCAGATCATGATCGCCTTCTTGCTGAACCAGGTCTTAAGCGCGACTTACTTGTTGGACGAGCGACTGGGACCCAAGGTTGTTCCGGGCGTTCTTTGCCTTCAATGGCCTCCTTTTCTTGGTATTCAATCATTTGGATGCTTTGACCCACCCTTCAGGGGAGCATTCAACGGATGTCATTTGGTAGTGACCCACCACAATTTGATAAAACAAAGTAGCTGCCAGAAGGGGAACGCAGTAGGACGCCAGATCATCGAGTTGCAGTTTTCTCGTTTAAAGGTTCGAAGGCCAAAATGACGGCTTTTTGGCGTCAAAGATTCGGCTTTTGGCCTGGGGTTGAAGTTTGAGGGGAGCTTGGGAAGCAGCTGATTGCTTTAAAAGCAAAGACCGCCAAAGACCTTACAATAGAAATGGACATGAAGAGAAAACATGAGAAAGCCTGCGGCAATACAGACGACTTACAGCAGGACAAATAAATGGGTGCGAAGGAATAAGAGGGAGTTTGGATGTTTCTCATTGCTCTGTGCCCTCAAGTATATAGTTCTTTCAAGGGGGTCATGCTTTGGGATGTATATTGTGGCGGCTATCCGGAGGCCATGCGCAGATGGCGATGTTTCTCAGTTCGTTTTGCTTCACTGTGAAGCTGTCCCAGTTTCAAGAGCTATTTCCATTGGTATTGGCATACATGCAGTTGTATGCCTGAGAAGCTGTAAAGAAAAGTGCAAGTATGCACACATATATACACCCGCGCACGCGCACACTCGCACACACAAAACTCTGAGGAACAAGTCCATATCTGATCGACAAGAAGTCTTCGCATACTTTGGCACCTGCTCCCGAGCGATCCTGAGCATGTTCGAGCTGCTGGGTCAGCGAAGCACCAGGTGGTCAGGGCTGGTTAGGGTATCCTCTTCGACCAAAAGTCTTAGCACCCTGTTGAGGATGGCTGGGGGTCCGGTCCTGGGCGGTTCTGCGGGGCGATCGCGATGTGAAGCCGGGCTTTCCAAGACGCTCATCGTTGAGAAGTCCAAGCTGGGAGGGCGAATTGAAAGCAGGTGCAGGGACTGTGGTTTGGAACCTCCATTCATTCTGCCAGGCCTCTGATTGTGATCAAAGAACCCTTTTTAGTGCAGAGATTCTGAGGCTAACTCTTGGCAATTGGCCAGTGATAGCACGGAGTCTTGGTCTGCATCAAGGATCGGCCACAGCCTTGCTGGCTACAGCAGGGTGTTTCTGAAGAACCCCGATGGACGACAACAACAACAACAACAACGACAACGACAACGACAACGACAACGACAACAACAACAACAACAACAAGGTACAAACAAAAACTGCAGCCCCGTTACAAGATATCTTGTTCCTTTGTCTCTACAAGGGGGTGGAAGCAAAATCTGCAACCCCGTCGTTGTTATTTTGATCCCCCCGAAAACAACCAGCCAACATGTACTTTTACATACTTTTACTAGTAGTGGTAGAGCTTGTAACTGTGCTTGTACTAGTGGTACTAGTACTAGTACTAGTAGTACTAGTAGTAGTAGTAGTCGTAGTCGTAGTAGTAGTAGTAGTAGTACTATAGTAGTAGTAGTAGTCGTCGTCGTCGTCGTAGTCGTAGTAGTAGTCGTAGTAGTAGTAGTAGTACCATAGTAGTAGTACGATAGTAGTAGTAGTACGATAGTAGTAGTAGTAGTACGATAGTAGTAGCAGTAGTAGTAGTAGTAGTAGTAGTAGTAGTAGTACGATAGTAGTAGTAGTACGATAGTAGTAGT